CATCATTATCTCTAACCTAAATGGACTGCCAACTTTAGTTTACTGTAGAAATTGATTTTCAGTTGTCTGTCAATGGTATTCCTAGATCACCTAAAACAAATCATTGACCAGGTAAATTACCATATCCTATGCATCTCTCTAAGGTCTTTTCTAGTTTTCTACTACACCCAGTTTGTTCTTTACTATCCAAAGGCAAAAGCTAGACTATGCAATAAATCCCATTTTGATTTTTTTGACAAATAAATGTTGTATATATTATGGTGAAAAATTTGATGTTTGACATATGTATGCATTGTGAAATGCTGAAATCAAGTTATTTAACATATCCATTACCTCAAATACTTACTTTGTTTTCTTTTGGTTTTGTGGTCCTGGGGATGAAACCCGGGGCCTTAACGTGCTAGATAAGCACTCTACCACTGAGCTACATTTCCAGCCCACATACTTACCTTTTGATGTTAAAAACATTTAAAAATATATACTTTAGGCTGGGGGTGGTGGTGCATGCCTGTAATCCCAGCAGCTCGGGAGGCAGAGGCAGGAGGATCTTAAGTTCAAAGCCAGACTCAGCAATTTAGCAAGGTGCTAAGCAACTCAGTAAGAACCTGTCTCTAATAAAATACAAAACAGGGCTAGGGATATGGCTCAGTTGTCGAGTGCCCCTAAATTCAATCCCCTCCTCCCCCGAAAATCTATAAGCTGGGGAGGTAGCTTTATGGTAGAGCACTTACCTTGCATGCATGAAGCCCTGGGTTCAAACCCCAGGACTATAATAAAATAAAGCCTGTGCTCTAACCAACTGTCAAGTAACAATAGATTATTATTCACTATAGTTGCCACACTGTGCAATAGATCGTTTTATTTGACTATTTGAACAACAAAACATGGAGTCTGAGAAACCAAGGATTAATGTGAATTGAATTAATTAGTGAATGAATAATAAATACCCTTAGATACTGTTTCTAGATTCTGTATCTGATTCACTGGAACTGGGTTAACTCCAGTTCTGCCTCTTTCTTCAAAAGCCACTGGGACAATTATGAGAGAGTTATTAGAATCCTAATTCTGCCACTTTCTAGCTGAGTGTCCTTATTCAAATTAATCTCTCTGTGTCTACCTCAGTTTTCTCATCTATAAAATGGGACAACCAATTCTAATAGCACTACTTATTTTAAAGGATTATTACAGGGATCGAATCAGTTAACAAATACAAAGTGTCTGGAAAAGTACCTGGAATACACCAGTGGTAAAAGTTCAATAAATGCAGGCTATCTGTTATTATTATCACCATTGCTAACATTACTTATCTAATGTCATTAAGATGATTAGATACAGGCAGCCACCCGGACAGCATGGAGGTTCTGCTCCCAGCTGCCTCCCGGACACCAGGAGAGGGCTGAGAAGCAGGGAGTTCCCCTCAAAGAGCTATCTACTGTGGAAGCAAAGAACAGTCCAGTTGGCCCGAATTCCCTCCAGCTATTTTGTCCCTCTGACCCATACTAAAATCACCGAAGTTAAAACATGAGGGAAAGAGTTTATACTAGGATCCACCCTCTATCAACAGCACCTCAGGTATAGTTACGTTCACTTGTTGAGCACACTTCTATCAAATCTTAATATTCCACCCACTGAGTGCTCTAGAGTTCCAACACCAGCTGGAAGACAGGCTCCACCCCATCGGGAAGGATATTGAAACCTGCCTCAGGAGGGAGGTAGTACCCCAGCCTGCCCCACACCCCACAGAACCTCTGGTCAAACAGCTTGGGGTGAGTGTTGGTGGGAAAGAAGATAAAAAGGGGATATTTTCATTTTATTATCTAAGTTCCAAGTATAGAGTAATAAACTTCAAATGTTTGTTGAATAACTGGACAAATCAATGACTAATAAACTTGAGTCATCCTGTCTTTCTATTTTAATATGTTCCCTCCTTGGCCCTGCCATTTTTTGGGGGTGTTAAGTCAAATCCTGGGATTTTCCTTCTCCTGATAGAAAATGTCATGAAAACCTTTTCAATGTGGTTTCCCCCTGAGGCTGAAGAGGTTTTCATTTTCCCTCCTTTATTTTCTGGTCAGGCGTTGTGAGCTTGGGCTCCCATAGTCCCCTGCTCCTTCCAGCTCACCTGGCAGGCTTTGAGCTGAGAAGCCAGAGTTACCTTGCTCAGTGTGGGTCAGAGGACTCCAAGTCTGTCAGTCCTCTTCACATCTGAGCCTGTGGCTGCCAGAACTTTGAAGAAACCCCAAGAAGTGGGTGAATGTCAACACAGCCCCCATGTATCTGTCAGTTTGATTTTTATAACATCAGCCTCTGCTCTTCCTAGATGTGCCCCAAATGAACTTAACTGAGTTCCTAATTTTGGAGACTTTCATCTGACAACTGGAGGCCATGCAGATCTCAAAATTCTGTGGTCTCCTTCATGGGACAGAGGAGAGCTGCAGGTCTCATTCCCGGATCCAGGTGTCTATGGAAGGCCACTGTGTGAAGGTGGCCTTCGTCCCCTGTGGCATGTCAGGTCCTCCACAGGGTATGGAGCACCCTGGGCTGCTAACCCTCGGCCTCCGAATCCCTGCGCAGCTGGCCATCAGTCCCGCAGGCTGGCCTAAACCGCCACCCCTCTCCTCCCCCGTCCATAGCCAGGAACGCCTCAATTTTCTTTTTCTCCCCAGAAGAAACCAATAATTCATTTCCCTTTCTCCAGAAGGATTTCCTCAGTTTCTCCTCTTTTCCCCCTTACTCTTCTGGGGAGTCCCTGATCTGAATGAAATCTCTTTCCTCAGTAGTAACTTCCAAACTAGCCCTTTCTGGTAAAAATGTCAGCCACTTGCTCTTTCCCCTAGCCTCTGAGGTTTCCTGGTATCTGTTCTCACCTCTCTCACATACAGGACATTGCCACAGTGAACACTGTGTGGCCAAGTGGGGGTGGGCCCTCGGCCTGACCTTTGGCCTCTAAATCACTATGAGGCCTTTCACCCGGGTCCCCCTGGTGACCTCCATGTCTAATATTTAACAGTGACTCTACCTTAGCTCATGTAAGTTGTTTCAAGCCACTTTGGGCCTAACACCTTGCAAGTGCTCAGCTTCTTACTAAACCCAAGGACATTGATTAATTAAACCTAATAAAAAGAGCTAAATATAGCAAGTATAAGCAACTAGACTAAGATATCTATATGTCTACATCTATCTACCTATATATTTATTTATTTGGTATCGGGAATTGAACCTAGGGGTGCTTAGCCACTAAGCTACATCCCCATCCCTTTTTTATATTTTTATTTTGAGACAGAGTCTCACTAAATTTCCAAGGCTGGCTTTGAACTTGTGATCTTCCTGCCTCAACCTCCTGAGTTGCTGGGATTTCAGGCATGTACCACTGTGCTTGGCTTCTAAAAGATTAAAAAAATTTTTTTTAAAATTGTAGATGGGCACAATACTATCTATCTATCTATCTATATCTATCTATCTATCTATCTATCTATCTATCTATCTATTTATCTGTTACTGGGGATTGAACCCAGGGGCACTTAACCATTGAGCCAGATCCCCAGCCTTTTTTCATGTTTTATTTAGAGACAGGGTCTCCCTGAGTTGCTTAGGGCCACGCTTGCTAAATTACTGAAGCTGGCTTTGAACTCACAATCCTCCTGCTTCAGCCTCCCAAGCCACTGAGATTACAGGAAATACATGCCTGGAAATACCTTTATTTTATTTATTTTTATGTGGATTGAACCCAGTGCCCCACACATGCTAGGCAAGCGCTCTCCCACTGAACTACCAACCACAGCCCCTCTAAAAACATTTTGATAAGCTTATTTGAAATCCTTTTGTGTCTAATACTGAGTGCCAATACTGAAGCCTTACCTGACTGTGGAAGAGCATCTATAAAGGCAAAAAAATGCTTCTCTAAATCTTCCAAGTCAAAGAACGGACGCTGGGACCAGACAGCTGCTGCAATCAGAGGACATCTTTCAATGACATTTCCAAACACGTCCACAAATTCTCCAAAGTCCATGGAATTGACTTTCTCCATGTTCATCGCTTGTATTCACCCAGAGGCAGCAAGATGCCCTGCTCCCCTCCTGGCGAGTGAGCTGACTGTTGCTCACTGGGCTATATTTGCTGAATGCACAAGCTTGTGTGTTTTTTTAAATTTTTTTTTATGCAATACCAGTTTAGCATGTTTTAACTGCCTCTGGGAGAAGCAGGTCCAGAACACTTAAGTAATCATCAATAAACATGTGCTTAAGGGATTTTGTTTGTTTTATAGTGCTGGGAATTACCAGGGCTGTGTGCACGCTAAGCGGGTTCTCTATCACTGAGCTGTACCCCAACTCAGGCTTAAGGTTGTAATACCAGAGCAGAGATCTCTGTGTGGTGAATGTATCCAATTAAGACATTTCCAAAATCAAACTGAGTAGTGGCCATAGTTCACCCTCAGTACTCAAGCCAGATAGACTTGGTGTCATTAACATTTTAATGCTATTGTTATCCTGGGGAAGGTTTCCCTGACAATTCGGACAGGTCATAGGTCAATCCTCTTGGAACTTAGATTGGGAACACATCCCCATCTGTTATTGCTGCTGCTACAGAGGACAGGACCTACGGTTCACTTTTCCTCTGAATCCAAACACTTAACACAAGAGGTGATAAATGCACATGAAACAAGATGAGGTATCTCAGGAACAATTCTGTCCCAGTCTCTGTGCTCTCTTGAGCACCACTATGTGTTACTTTCTCCTTGAGTATATCCATTCTTTTGTGAAATCACCTTCATTATTGCATTTATTTGTTTGCATGTAATCTGTCAGCCCCAACTGCCCATGAGGCTATAGACTATGTATCTTGAGTCTCTGTATCTTGGGAGCCTAAAACTGTGCCATAGGAGGATCACAGTGAACTCATTGTGGCATAAATTCACCAAGGGGTGAATTGAATGACTAATTGACCACACGAATTAGATTTCACACCCTATGCATGCACAACACAAAAATAACGTGAAAAGAATAACATGTTAATTGCAGTACTATTTATGATAGCAAAGTTATGGAATCAGCCTACCCAGATGAATGGATAGCCATCAACAGTTGAATGGATGAAGAAAATGTCACACACACACACACACACACACACACTCTGCAATACTAATCAGCCATGAAGAACAATATCAAACCATTTGAAGGAAAATGAATGGAGATCCTCATGTTCAGCAAAATAAGCCAAAGACAAGTATTGCATTTCATATGTGGAATCTGGAAGGAAAATTTTAAAAAGACATCGTGAAAGTAGGAAGAGGATGATTAGGGAAGGGGACTAGATCATAATAGGGAGGGTGGATATGATCAAAGCATGTTATACAAATGTATGGAAACATCACATCAAAACTTTTTTTTTTTTACAATTGATATGCACAAAAAATTATGATGTACATAAACATTGAGTATTACAAAAACAAACAAAGGCAGGGGTCAGAAATTTAAAAAAAGATTGCCAGTATTTCCCTTTAGAACTAAAAATGCAAACATGTTTCCTAAAACCATACCAGTTACACATTTACCTCCATGTGAATCACGATTCAGCATGAGAGCGGCAGCTTTAGGATTAATGAAGCAGTCTTTTCAGTTTACCCCGTGGTCTTCAAAGCAGGGGACCAGTGCTGGTACAATCTGTCAACAGCCAAGGGTTTTGTCCCGCTTCTGTCTGTAGCCAGTTCCCCAGCTGCATCCGCACCCCAGGGATCTGGGCCACCCCAGAAATAAGCTAATGAAATTTGCTTTCCAAAAGGGGTGAATCTGGTGACAGAAGTCCCACTGTTAGTGGACTTCGTTTCAAACATGGAACGACAAGGAATATTATTACACAGAGTGTCCCCAACATAACAAGATTCCACTTATGATTTTTCAACTTCACGATGGTGCAAACGTGTTACACATTCAGTAGGAACCGTCCTCGGAATTTTGAATTTTGATCTTTCCCTGGCCAGCTCCTCCGGGTCTCGTCCTCTCTTGCTGTGCTGGGCAGTAGCAGTGACCTCAGCTCCCAGTCAGCCCTGGAGGGTTATAAGAGAAACTCTATAGTGTGCTTTGCTGCTGAGCCAGGATGTTCAGTAGGTTACAGGGATCATGTGCATTTTTTACTTATCTTTAATCTTAGATGGGCCCATCAGGATGTAACACCATAGTAAATTGAAGAGCATCTGTGTTATCATATACCTGTGTATTTGTGAAAAAATATTAAACCTCATACTGGGTATGCAGTTTTGGACAGCACTGCAGAGAATAAGGAGCTGGGCTCAGGAGCCAGAATTCCTAAGTTCTAATCCTGCCTCCACCACTTACCACCGAGCATGTGGCAAGTTACTGAACTTTTCTATACTTCAGTTCTTCATCTGTAAGTCGGAATAATAATAGTATTTGCCTGAGGGGAAGCTTACAAAAATTAAAAAAAAAATTTAATTAAAAAGTGCTCAAAATGGTTCTCATCACGTAACACTACATCGTTATTGGCTAACACAACATCTCCTGTGTTCAGTCCTCCGTGGGAACAAACATTTTCTTTTTTTCCTTCTGCCATTAGGGAGTCACATCCCTATTTCCTTATCCATGTGGGTTTTGCCACAGACACCTCAACAGCTCAACCCCCATCTCTTCTCCTTCTCCCTCCAGCACATCAGCCTCCATTAGCTCTAGAGTTGACCTGTGTGGCATCTGCAATGTCAGATGGAGACCGGGCAAAGGGAAGGGACAGTCTGTGTAGGGGCTCCATAGTGTCCCTAGGGCCCCCTCTACTGGATTGCCAGGCAATCCCAGGCTTAGAGCACTTTCAGCCCTGGGGGCTGAAGTAAGTGAGAGAGGACGGCAGAGTGAGGGAGATGGGCCTTGGCAACCCATTGGCTGGGAACTGAGACCAGGCATAGTGAGACAGTGGTGGAGGGCGTCCCCGACACCTGCAGTCATCCATCGAGGTGGTGAGGAGGTGGGCAGGCATGGGGGCCAGAGAGGTCCCAGAGTTCATTATCTTCGAGTCTCTAACTAAGCAATTTAAGCTTCTTGAGTTTTGGCTTTGCCATCTGTTAAACTGCCACAGAACAAACAGTTTGTTAAGTGAGACAGTCTTTAAGAAATCTTTAGTCTAGTTCTAGAATATAGTATGTTATCTATAAGTATTAATAAAAAATCATCTAAGCAAATCTTGAAGACATTAAGTGAAATAGTCAGTCACAAAAAATACTGTCTTACTCTAATTATTACTTAGAATAGTCAGAAAGGGAGGCTGGTAGGAGCAGTTGTAAAAGGTGATCCAAGACATCTTCCTGTAGCTGGCCAAGGCCCCAAGGCGTTTATCTTTCTCCTAAAAAAAATACCTTGGAGAGGGAAATGGGTTCTTCAGTTTTGATATGGGAAGCCAGTCCCAGCCCCCTGAAACCCTAAGCATGGCAGGTGCCCCAGTCTGTGGACCAGAACCCTGAGAGCCAGGTCCCAGAGAAGGATCTAACATGAGGATGCTTAGTGAGAGAAATCTGGTAAGTAACGAACTTAAAATGCACTCATTGCCATAGTCACCAAATGACTGAATCCTGAATGAATTGAAGTTATCTGCATAGAAGGTTGTTTTTCTTCATATCAACGGATTGATCTTAACTCTGCAGCTTAAAATTTGCCTTTCCAAAGGGCAGGGAGTACTAACGAAATGAGGCTAAGTTCTTGGGAATCGATTTTAAAACAGCGGTGCGAGGGTGCCACCTGCTGGCAGGATCACGGCAAGGCCGAAGTGGCTACTTTAGTAAACCTGCAACTCCTTCGGGAATGAGATTGATCAAAGTGGGTTGTGGGCAGGTGTATGAACATAGCACAATTAATCTCATTATTATATCTGATTATAATGCACAAATACAAATTTTAAAGATTAAATGTTTCTAACAAATAAAATGAGCTCTTGAAAATTGTGTTTTAAAAATGGGAAGTTAAGTCAGGGACACAAATTGATACAAACTAAAACTGAATCTGTGGTTTAATAAGATTCTAATTTCATTTTCCATTAAGAGGTTTTTAAGGACCGTCATTCTTCAGGAAATGTTGCCTCATAAATATCATGTTTGGCATGTTAAAAAGTACAGCATATACAAGTCATGTTAAAAAGTACAGTAATATAAAGAACATCTGTGAATCACCACCCAACCCAACCTCCCCCCCCAAAAAAAAATTCAAGTGACATTAGTGTGAGAATGAATGGTAGTGTAATGGTAGTGGTAATTGTATGTTCAGAAATGAAGGAACTTCAGTTGCATGTTATATAGGTTGAGTTGCCCTCATCCAAAATACTGGAACCAGAATGGTTCAGATTTTGCACTTTTTAGATGTTGGAATACTTACATATCAAAATGAGGTAACTGGGGATGGGCCCCAAGTCTCAGCACAAAATTCATTTCTTTTACATACAACTTATACATGTAGCCTGAAGATAATTTGTTTTTTCTACTGAGGATTGAACCCAGCAGCACCTTACCACTGAGCTACATCCCCAGTCCTATTTATTTATTTAAATTCTGAGACAGGATCTCACTAAATTGCTGAGGGTCTCACTAAGTTGCTCAGGCTGACCTCAGAAACTTGTGCTCCTCCTGCCTCTGCCTCCCGAATTGCTGGGACTACAAGCATGAGCCACCACACCCAGCTCTGAAGGTAATTTTATACAATATATGCATCTGCGTTTTGGTTGCAACCACCTATCCACATGGGGTTAGGTGTGGAATTTTCCACTTGTGGAGTATCATGTTGGCTCAAAAATGTTTGGATTTTGTGCCGGGCATGGCAGCACACACCTGTAATCCCAGTGGCAAGGGAGGCTGAGACAGGAGGATTGCGAGTTCAAAGCCAACCTCAGCAATGGCAAGGCACTTAGCAACTCAGTGAGATCCTGTCTCTAAATAAAATACAAAATAGGACTGGGGGTGTGGCTCAGTGGTAGAGTACCCCGGAGTTCAATCCCTGGTACCAAAAGAAAAATGTTTTTTTTAGATTTTGATTTTGAAATTCAGTTTTTTTGGGTTAGGGGTGTTCTCAACATGAACCATGAATAACTCTTAGAAGCATAATATTGATTTTTTAAAAAAGGAAACAGGATCTGGCAATTGGATAGAGACCACAATATCATTTCTATAAAGCTTATAAACACGAGAATATTCATTTTCAAGGAAATCAAATCCTTTGGTGACTTTAACAGACAGGAAAGCAGTTCTGAAGTGTGAGTCAACATGGTGTACCCGTCAGGGTTCTCAGGTTTGGGCTACTGAGGTGGACTTGAGCCCATGCATTTAGGCAGCTCATAGGAAGACCAGAGACGAAGGCTTGAGAAAGAAGGAGACCAGAGCAGCTCCAGGAACACAGCAGTGGGATCTGTCTTGCTTGTCAAGAGACTGGTACTAAGTTAATAAACTCCAGCTCCTTTGTTCATCCTTGACCAAATTTAGCCAAGGCACAAAGTCCTAGAACAAGAAAAAAACTTTAATAGCCTAGCGTGGTCCCTCTAGCAAGAACTCTCCATGACTAGAAGACAAAACCACCTGCACGTACTAGAGAGGAATAATACCCCAAATCATGATGCTGTTACCCTGTAACTGATACTGATACTGGATGGTCAAAGAAACATGTGATCCCTACAACAGAGCCTTTAAAAATAATAAACTCAACAAGTCAAAATAAAACTATCATATGATTTCTTTATATATATATATATATATATATATATATATCCTAAAGAATATATTTATATACATGTAAATCCTAAATAATTGAAAGCAGGGTCTTGAAGAGATATTTGCATACCCATGTTCAGTATTATTCATACTAGTCAAGGGGTGGAACTAACCCGTGTGTCCGTTGATAGATAAATAGATAAATAAAATGCACACATATGTACGTAATGGAATATTATGGTGCCCTAAAAAGGAGGGAAATTATATATGCTATAATATGGATGGAACTTGAGAACATTATGCTAAGTGAAATAAGACAGGCACAAAAAAGTGAAGTTAGCCAATCCCCCAAAACCAAATGAGAATGTTTTCTCTGACATAAGGAGGCTGATTCATAGTTGGGTTGGGAGGGGAAACATGAGAAGATTAGATGAACTCTAGATAGGGCAAAGGGGAGGGAGGGGAAGGGAGGGGGCAAGGGGGCAAAAAAGATGGTGGAATGAGATGGACATCATCACCCTAAGTACATGTATGAAGACACTAATGGTGTGAATATACTTTGTATGCAACCAGAGATATAAAAAATTGTGCTCTATGTGTGTAATATGAATTGTAATGCATTCTGTTGTCATATATGACAAATTAGAATTTTAAAAATTTAAAAAAAGTCAAACACTACATGATTCAATTTATATGAGGTACCAAGACAGGTACATGTTAATAAGGTTTGGAGACTGCAAGTTATTAGCCTAACTTTCAGTATCTTTACTGAAAAAAAATGGTAATAATTTTATTACCTACTTCATAAAGTAATTATGAAGATTAAACAAGGTCATGCAGATGTAGTTCTTAGTATGATGCACATAACATGCCCTTGTAATGTGTATCATACATATACATATGTGAGAAAATATTGACACATAAAGAACAAAAAAGCCTGTTTGGGAGTATAGCTAGTGTGATTGCATATATGTAAAAAACAAACAAGTGAGCATGTGTGTGAAACTGTGAATAATGTAAATATATTTAAACAAGAAGACATGCCTCAAACTTTAATACTAGTTCTTCTAAAGAAGTATTTTGGCATTTGGGTTGTGTGAGTAAAGGGGGACTTCATTCATTATATAAGTAAAAATATCAAACTATTTGAATGCTTCACTTCAAGTGAATTTTATGCATTTACTAAAATGGGTTAAAAACTAATGGAAGACATCTACTTACTGTACCTAGACACTGTACACAAACAGGAGTGAAGCACACAACTTAGTGTTAATTGTATCTGCCTGCCTTCAAACTTACTATGATAGAAAAGACAAGGGCGTTTACTTAGGGTAACAGCACAGGTGGGTAGGCTC